GCGGACGCTCAAGCCGGGGGCTGGGGAGGGCACCAGTACGACTTCCCCTTCCTGCCTGCCCACCCCCAGCCCTGGGGACCCCATCTCTGGTCCCAGCCGAGTAGAACCTTCCCACTTGCAGGGCGATTTCCCCACCGCAGATGCCTTTTCACAATGTTCTTGGCAGCAGCTGTTGGCTAACTTGGGTTTTAAGATTTTGAGCAATTAAAAAAAAAGAAAAAAAAAAGGAAGCTCCCTTGTTTCCTCCACGGACTCTGACCTCCCTCCTTCACTCTTCTCACTCCCAGAGCTTTCCTTGGCTAATGTTTCCTTTTCCTGCTCGGGGCCACTCTTCGGAGGCCTCGAAACCCTTCTTACTCATCCCCCTTTCTCTACAGGGTCCCCAGTTTCACCATCCCCACCGCCACCCCTGTTGGTCCAGCTGGCAGGTCCAACATGCCCTGGACCGTCATGCTTTTTTATTTTATTTATTTATTTGGGCGGCTGGCCAGTACGGGGATCCGAACCCTTGACCTTGATGTTATAACACTGCACTCCAACCAACGGAGCTAACCCCCCTACCCACTCATGTTTTTTAAAGTTGAGCAAAGTCACCACCCGCCTTGCCACCACTCCCACTGCTAGCCTGTCCCACCGCTACCATCGCTGTTTCAATGTCCCCACCCAAGCGGAAGAAGGGCTGACCTTTGACCAAGAATCCACCATCACCTGGGCGCAGCCAGCTCCCCGACTTGGACAGTGACAGCTCTTCTGTCCTCCAGAGCTGTGGACCAGGAGGGGACAGCAGCAACCCCAGAGCCAAGGGAGGGGGGCAGCGAGTGTCGTTCCTCTGATAAGGGTGGAAGCTGCCCCCTCACCCGCCTGGCCCAGCCAAGGCTCCAAGCAGAGGGAACACGGGGACGAAAGAATGCAGGGCCTGCGGTGGTGGCCCTAATTCAGGATGACCTGGATTTAGCAGAGAGTGGGCCAGGAAGGTTAAAATGGATACCTCCTGTGGCCTTATTAGCCCCAACACTGTGCTCAACCCAGCTGCAACCAGGATCTCTAGTCCCCCCAATGGAAAATGTGAAGGTGCCTTGCAAATGGGCAGGAGCCCCAACTGGATCCTGGGCTGGCAAAGCAGGGCTGTCTACAGCCCCCCTGTCCCCATGTCCCTCGGGGCCTAAGGGTTCAGTAGAGGAATCTCAGGCTGAGGCCTCCGGTGAGGAGGAGGAAGGGGGTGAATGGGGCCACTAACCAAGGCGACCAGTGCATCCTGTACAGCAGTGCCCCTCCCCACCTGGCTGGCCCTCCCGTTAGTCACAGAGGCCACAAGGCCAGGAGGGGAGCAGGCTGCCCCTCCACCTAGGCTTTCCACCATGACCAGGCCTGACTCTTAACCACTACCTGAAGTCTTTTGAAGGGGCAAGCCTCTGGGGAGACGTGGGGGCCTTCTCCCTTCTTTTCACCAAAGTAGGGGTGGTCATGGCAATGGGGCTCATCACAATCCCCCTTCCCTCCCCCCCCCCCACATGGCTGGGGAGTGTTAAGGACAGCAAAGTAGTCTCTGTCCCCACCCCCTTGTACTTGACTCCCCAGCTATCTTGGATAGCCCCTCACCCTTAGGGGGAGGAGGAGGAGGAGGAGGGATTTCTCTACAATGAGTTTATTTACCTTTTTTTTTTTGCAGCTGGCCAGTAAGGGGATCCAAACCCTTGACCTTGATGTTATAACACCATGCTCTAACCAGCTGAGCCAACTAGCCGGTTCTTTTTATTTTTAAGAAATAAATAATAAGCTTGGTTTCTGTGTGAGCAAAAAAATAGATAAAAATAAAGCTGAGCAACCTCAAGACCACAAACCTTTCCCTCTGGATATTTCAATGACTTATCATTCTAGAGTGTCCTCTGTAGCACAGGGCAGAGAACTCCCACCTCCTAGTGCATACAAATAAATATGATCACAAGGTCAAGGCCCAGTCCAGGCCAGCTGCCAAAACCAAAAATAAAATGAAAAAACAGAAAATAAAATAAACATGATCACCAGTGTTCCCACCTAGTAATCACAATAACTAATTACTGTTATTATGATTACTATGGTGTCAAGTGGTTCCTGGGTGCTTCCTATATGCTTACCATGCAACCACAGGTGACCCTCGGACCTGTCCCCATTCCAGGCCTCCCTGATGAGCTCATGAGTCCAATTGCCTCCTGGACACCCCACAAATAGTACAAAAGAAAATGCAACAGCTCATTACTTTCTGTACAAACCAACTAGTTGCTGAGAGAAAGAGGAAGTTCTTTGGAGAAGAACCATAGCTCAGCTGGCCGGTTAGCTCGGTTGGTTAGAAGGCAGTGCTGATAACACCAAGGTCAAGGGTTCAGATCCCCATACCAGCCAGGGGCCCAAAATCAGAAGAACTACATTCCAGCGGAAGGAATGGTACAGTCGGGAATAACGGACCAGAGATGGATGGGCTGCCAACACCTTTATGTGGAGAGTTATTAGGGACACCCACAAAGTGATCCATTGTAGCCAGGTGACATTACAAACCCCCTGATGTGATGCAACAGGTAAGTACCAGGCCCCATCAGTGAGATATCCTAGTGGAAACTGTAGCTCTAACCTTTTCATAGGGGGCACAGCAGGACTGGGATGGGGGAAAGAATGGAAAAGAAAACACAGCAAGTAGTCATCAACATCGGGAGGAGGTAAAGCAGAGGCCTCTCCGAGATGGTGACGTTTGGGCTGAGACAGGAAGGAGAAAGGGGTCCAAAGAGTCGGAGTTGCAGTATTGCAGGTGAGGAGAACAGTAGGTGCAAAGGTCCTGGGGCAGGAACACTGTGGTGTGTTTGAGGGACAGCGACAGGACCAGCAGTGAGGTGAGAAATGGGGTTGCGGAGGGGATCTTGTAGGACGCAGAGAAAAAAGGTTGGATTTTACTCTCATAGGAGGGTTTTGAGGATTCAGCACAATGCGTGTGTAGGGCTTGGCGTGAAACGCCGTTAGGGCCTGATAGTGCCAGCTACTGTCGCCCACAGGGGCCAGCGAATATATGCAGAATCAGGACCTGTGTTCAGTGCAGAGGCATCACAACACCTGGACATAAGGAGCAGAGGCGGAGGCGGTTTAAGCAGCAGAGTTTCGTCTCCGCTGGGAGCCACTGCATAACGCCTGGCCTTCCTCCCAGTCGTCTCTGATTAGGGTCACCCGAGCTCCAGTTACAGCCGCGAAAGATCAAAGAAACCGGAAAATTGAGCCACAGCGCCCCCTGGCGCTCACAACTTTTACCTACATAAACGAGTCCGGGGGGAACTCGTGGCTTTCCAGGGAGGTGAGTCTAAATTTTAAACTTTAAAACCATCTGTCTCTCACCCCACCTCCCTCCGTCTCCAAACGCGTCCCTGCCGAGGCCGGGCTGGGCCCGGCAGCCGCGTATCCAGGACGGGCCGTCTCAGGGGTCTGCACCGACCCACTTTCTACCCCGCACCCCATGCAACCCACGACTCTGCGCATCCACCTTTCTGCCCTGGTGGGAGACTCCGGGAAATCCTAATAAGTGGAACTGCTGAATCAGAGGGGTTTGTGCTTTTCTTAGGCCCCACCTGCTAAACTGTGTGTGCAATATTGCTGGGAAGAGTTTCCTTAGGTTTCCCTGAATTCTCAAAAGGATCTGTGACCTCAAAATCAAAATGCCCCGTTTGCCCACCCACCACCCCTTCCCAGACACCCCTCCCAGCAGAGCTGCAGGGCCAGCATGAGTCTTGCGTCCCACCTGCCCCAGCTTAGATCCCTTCTAGGATTTCCCATTGCCCCAGCACGGACCAAAATCCTCACCGCGGCCTGCGGGGCTCTACGCGGTTCTCAGATCCTGCTGCTGGTCAGTAGCCTTCCCTCTAACGCCCCAGAGACCTCCTCGGTGCCCTGCCCTTCTCATTTTCATTTTTCACTCAAACTTCGCCTCCTCCAGGGAGTCTTTCCTGATCGCCAATGACTGGATGGATGAGGGTGTCCTCTAGGCTCCCACAGCCCCCCTTGCCTCTAATGACCTGCCTGGCTGTGTCTGTGCCCCAGAGAGAAGGGTCCTTATCTGTCTCACTCCCACCTCATTTTAGCCCATTGCAATGGACTGACTTGTGCCCCCTGTCACCCCAATTCACATGCTGAAGTCCTGACCCCCAGTACCTCAGAATGCAACTGTACTTGGGGAGAGTCTTTAAAGAGGTAATTAAATTTAAATGAGGTCATTAGGGTGGGCCCTAATCCAATAGGACTGGTGTCCTTATAAGAGGAGATGGGGACACAGACACACAGAGGGATGACCATGTGAAGACACAGGGAGAAGACAGTCGTCTACACGCCAAGGAGAGAGGCCTCAGAAGGAACCAGCTGCTGACACCTTGATCTCAGATTTCTAGCTTACAGGACTGTGAGACAATACATTTCTGCTGTTTAAGTCACCCAGTCTGTGGTCCTTTGTTATAACAAATTAAAGGCTCTGGTAAGTCCTGCAGTCCAGAGCCCCTGTGAACCCTGTGGGCTGGGCAGGATGAGTAGGGACTTTGCTAAATGCAGGCTCTGACCCCGGAAGCTGCAGACAAAACAATCCTGCTGGAGGAGTCAAAATAATTCTAGTGACAAAAGAGTAACAGCCACTGTCCTGCCTCTACGCCACCAGCTGTCCTGTACTGTTATCTCCTCTGCAAAGCAGCCACTATTGTCAGCCCCCGCTTTTGAACGGGGAACACAGCCATCTGGCTGAGGCTTCACAGCTACATCTTGGAGCCACTATTCAAACGAGGGCCTGAGTTCTTAAGTTCGGGGTGAGGAAGAGGGATGCTGATAACACCAAGGTCAAGGGCCAGCTGCCAAAAAAAAAAAGATGATGCCTTCGGGGGCCAGGGAAAGGTTCTGGCGGGACAACAGGGCAAGACAATAGGGCACAGTGGGGTCCTGAGGCACAACTGGCCCAGCACAGCTCCCAGGGGCTCCCTTGGAAAGAAAGTGAGGTGGACATTGGCTGGTAGACACGGGAAGAGTTTATTTCTCTGGAAATGGAAGGAGCAGGGGACAGGGGGGACAGGGTCAGGGCAGGGCAATATCCTCGAGCTTCTGGTCCAGCGTCTTGAGGTCGTCCAGGAAGCGGGTTGGGGTGAGGATGTGTGAGGAGCCTGGGCAGGAGGGGTGATGAGGGAGGTGGGGACGCTGTCTCGTGCCTTCACAAACCAGGCCCCCAACTCTAAGGACTGAAGAAACCTAGGAACATGGAAGTCCACCCCCAGATGACCCCTTTCCTGGGAACCCCAGACCCCTAGAAACTCTGATCCTGGCTACTCACCAATAAGCACCTCCCACTTGCCCTCGGTGGCCTTGGTCACCTCGTAGGCCGCCCTCATCTCTGACATGGCCACGCCGCCCACGATGTACACAATGAGCCGGGGCCCAGCCCGAGCCTCTACGCCTGCCTTGTTCTTATGCCAGTGGCCGAAGCGGGCACTGTGCAGGGGAGGGGGCAGAGGTGAATCCAGGCAGGAGACCCCGCCACTGCCATGCCCTCCACCTAACACAGGCCTGGGCATGGGGGGTGTCCCCGGGGCCCTCACCTGACAGCGGCCTGGGAGCTGGGCATGGGCGCAGGGTCAGACACGAAGGGCCACAGCTTTCGGTCCAGTCGGTCCTCCACGGCATCCTGGGCAGCCGGAGAGGGAGGTTTAGGAGAGGAGCCCCAGAAGACAGGGCGAAGGGTCTGGGGTCCCTTCTTCCACCAGGTGTGTTCAGGTGCCAAGATCCTGGCAGACAGAAGCCACCATCTAACCTCCTGCTCCTTGAAGACCCAGGGGTCTGGTATCCCTTGGGGACCCAGGAGTCAAGACCCCCAACCCTTAGGGATCCAGGAGTCTATACCACTAGCCTCTTGGGGATCCAGTAGTCTGAACCCCCAGCCCCTGCAGGTCCAGATTGTAGATGCGGTCCCGTGGGGATCAAGGAGTTTACACCCCCAGCCCTTTGGGGATTCAATAATCTGAGCCCCCAGTTCCTTGGGGATCCAACAGTCTGGATCCCCGGCCCTTCAGGGACCCAAGAGTCCAGGCATCCTTGGCCCCTGGGGATGAGGAGGCCAACGTCGCTGGACTCCCAGGGAGGAGGGGGCCAGAACTCTGGAGGACAGGCAGGAAGCCAAGCACCAAGCCGCTGGCTCGTCACTATCTGACGTGTCTGCTTTGGGTTGCAGGATGTCCAGGGGCTGGCGTGGGGGAGGGCTCCTGGGGCCAGGCAGGGGAAGAAAACGGAGAGGGGCACAGTGGATGTAGCAGGTGGGTGGAGAGGAAGTGAGGCCCCCAGCCAGGGCCCCTCGCCGCCCCAATTCCTCGGGTGTGGGTGTGGGGTGCCCCCCTAGGCAGAGCAGATCAGGTACCAGGGGATGCCAGTAATGAGGGATTTTCCATTAAGCCCTGAGGCTTAGTGCCCTGAGCAGGAGGAAGGCTGAGCCTCCGGCTGGATCAGGGGAAGACTGGTGGCCCCAGCCCCCTGCCCGCCCACCCACAGTACCTCCATCACGTCCTTGACGACCGGAGTCCAGCGGGACAGCTGATAAGTGGGCTCCGTGCGTTCCCTCCGCTCCAGCTGGCTGGAAGTCCCCGAGCCCTACAGGCGGGGCCAGGCGGGGCGATGGGGGGATTGGGGAGAAGGAGGCGGGTCACAGACGGGGCTGAGGCCTCGTCTGGCTGGAGGGGTGGGGGTTGCAGACAAAGATGGGAAAGTGAAAGAGAGAAGCAGAAAGATAGAAAAAAAGAAATACAGAGGCAGTGAAACAAAAAGATAGGAGCAGAGAGACAAGGGACAAAGAGAAACATCACAGAGAGGGACAGATGGGCATGATGGAGGGGGACAAGGACAGGAGGAAAGAGACAGGGAGACAGGGAACAAAGAGAAAGATGGGAGACAGAGAGATGCGGGACACAGAGAAACAGGCACAGCGAGATAGATAAGGGACAGGCAGAGAGATGGGGACGGGGTGGGGACACACAAGAGAGCCGCAAAGCCATGGTGGAAACAGGGTCGGGGGAGGTGGGACGTGCAGGACCAGAGAGAGACAGGGGAGGCTAAACCAAGAGCTGAGCACAGGAAGCTGCTGTGTGTGGGTGTTGGGGGGGTTCCTCTGAGACCTCCAGGAGCGCCAGGTTGATTGTATGCCCTACCCCCCAATGCTGGGGACCCCGCTAGCAACCCTTACGACTCAGACCACAAGCCCTGCACTGCATCCCCACCAGGACCAGTGTGGCAGTGACCACACTCCACCCTTCACCTATCATGTGACCCAGCACTGGGATGGCTCTGGCACCCTCTGCCCCCCAGGGCCCCGACTCAAGCCCTCTCCCAAGGTGTCCCCCGATGCCCACACCCCCGTCCGCCTGGTCTCTGACCCTCCAGCCCGCCCCCGGCGTACCCCGGGGTTGGTGATGGTGCCTCCCAGCTGCTCCAGGTTCCGGATGAGGCTACTGTGGGCCTGCACGTTGGCGTGCTGGATCAGCTTGGCTAGGTTCTCTTCACTCACACCTGCAGGAGGGGCATGGGTGGGCGACTAGGGGCAGGCATGTGGACTCCTGGGTTAAGGGGACTGGGGTGGGCTGAGGCGGTCCCAGGACCCAGGAAGCCCCTGGGGCTAGTGTAAGAGGGAGTTCTGATGTCAGGGAGATTCTGGATGGGGACCCCATAGGGGATAGGTTGACGGGTCCCCCAGAATTAGTTGAGGGAGCCCTAACTCTGGAGAAGTCACAGATTTGGGTGTCCCGATGTCAACAGGGGGGCCCTCATGTCAATGGAAGGTACCCAGGTCAAGGGAGGAAGGTTCCAGGGTCCAGAGAGGATCTCTGGGGTTTAGCATGCCTGGTGAGCTGGGGGCATCCCACGGACAGAGGAATTGTGGAGTTGACAGGTTCCTAGGACGGTTGGAGACACCAGGGAACCGGGAATCCCAAGACCCCCAAAGTCCCCACCCACCATTTCGTAGAAGGATGTAGAGCAACAGGACCCGGATCTTGTCATAGGCTGGCACCAATGCATCCAGCAGCACCGGCACGATCAGCTTCATGGCGTCCTTGATCTTCTCGCCCTCTGCGTCGGAGCCCATGGCCAGGTCCTGGGGAGCACGGGGGTCAGCTGTCCAGGCAGCTATTACGGGTGGTGGGGGTGGGGAGGCAGGGCAGGGACATCCCCAGGGTCCTCGGCAAGGCCTTCAGTTCCCACCTCATCCCTGCTCCAGGTCTCCCAAGGTCCCTCCCCTCTCAGGGGACACAGCCTCTCCACAGGTCCTGCTCCTCCCCCAAACCGTGCCTTTTACCCTGGCTCCACCTCTCCAAGGCCCCGCCCCTCACCTGGGTCCTCACCTCTCCACAGGCCCCGCCCCTCACCCAGGTTCTACCTAAAGCCCCACCCCGAACCCCACCTCCCCTATGGGGCCGCCCCTTCGGCAGGCCCCGCCCCTACCTGCTCCACGCCGCAGAGCTTCTCCACTAAGCCCTTGAAGCGCTTCATACAGTCGTCAGCTAAATGCAGGTGCGTGGCATACTGCGGGGTGGGGCGTGGAAGTGGGGGGTTACAGAGGCGAAGTCAAGGCAGACAGCAGGACAGACCACAGGGCTGAGGGCCCGGCAGTCCAGGGCCGGGTACCACGCCCCCCTCCGCCCCAGCTCACCTTGTTCAACTCCTTCTGGTACTGTGGCATCTTTTTCAGGATGTGGGACAGGTCTTTGATGTTGGCCTGGGCGGGGGTGGGAGAGGACGGGGGCAGGTGTGAGGCTCGGCCCTGCCCACCCGAGGGCCCCACTCCAGGCTGGGGATCCAAGCTGAGGCCCCGCCCCCCATGCGGAGGGGCTTCCTCTGCAGCCGCCCAGTGACCGTAACTAGGCCCACCCCTACCTTGTCAGTGGTCAGCCTCTTGCTCTCACAGAATGTCTTCAGAAGGTCCGTAACCCTCCTAGCCATGAGGGTGGGCAGGGGTGAGATTGGGGGCTGGTACCAAGATGGCAGAGTGAGGGCGCTGCAGGGGTCCCACAAGCTGGGGATGGGAGCTAGGGCACACGGGTCCAGGCACCAGCCCGTGGGTATAAGCCCACACTGGGGGATATGGGTGTAGGCTGGTCAAGTGTGCTGCTGAGGGGCGTGGCCTGTAGAAGGGCGCTCAGCAGGGCCCCCACGGCCAAGTACCAGTCCCACAATGGGGGAGGGGGGGGGGATCTGGGTAGGACCCACGTCCCCAGCACTCCCCACATACGCACGCACTTGGACACGTCCGCAATGTGCATGTGACGCAGCTCCACCCACAGGTCATCGTCCTCGTCCAGCAGCACCGCCTTTTCCCGCGCCTCACTCAGCCCTGTTGTCTCGTACCTGTGGGACGGAAGGAGTGTGAGAGGTGAGAGTCAGGGCCATTAAGTGGGCAGCGGTGGCGGGGGGCGAGTTCCAGTCCACCCACCTGTATGTGTCCTGCTCGATGTCCAGCAGGTCGTAGGCCATGGCCTGGAACGTGAGCTCATGCAGCAGCGGGGACACCGGGTCTGCTGCCCGGTCCACGATCAGCAACTGTGAGCGGGTTTTCTCAGGGCCCTGGGGGTGGGGCCAGGCGTGGATGAGGACAACAACCCTGACACTGGCTGGGGCCTGGCCCCACCTCCCCAGCAACCTCCTCACCTCGCCCAGACTGGGGGTGTCTGCCTTGAAGGCATTCAGCTTGGCAAGGACAGCGTGGGCCAGCTGGGCCGTGTCCTCCGGGCCCCTAGAGGTGGTGCAGTCAGACATGGGGGCATCAAGGCGGGGGGGTCGGGGAGGGCACAGAATGGGGGTCTAGGGTGAGGCTGAGGATGGAGGTCAGGGGCCAGGGGAGGACAGATGCTGGAATTAGAAGGGAGGTTAAAGGTTGGGTGCCAGATGGGGTCCAGGTTAGGGGGCAGCATTGGGTGGGGGCTGCGTGGGATCCCCACTTGCGGTAGCGGATGGCCGGGTACTCCTGCAGTGTGGCGCACAGTGTGGCAATCTGCTGGGCCAGCACCTCGAGCTGCCGTACCCGCTCCCCTGCCCGGAAGGGGCAGTAGAGGTTGTAGGTGCTGTGGGGGGCATCCAGGGAGAATACCTGGGGAACAGAAGTGCCAGGGCTGTTGCTACAGGTGCGCACACCTGCCTGACTTCAAGCCACTGCCACCTGCATCTCCCTGGGCTGTTCTCTGGGGTCTGGAGCCTGCTTTGCTAATCTCAAGGCAGGCCGTGGTAGTCCCTACACACTACCTGGAGGAGTCGGCAGATAAACACCCCGGCCTCCTCTCCCTTGAGCTGGATAACACTGAGGCACACTCTACACTGCCCACTGCAGTTCTCAGTGGGACAGGACCGTAGTCACCCAGTGGCGAGGGCTCACTATGATCCCTGCATTGGTTCCTTCCCTCTCTGACTCCTTACCGGTGTTCCCTTCACTTGTGCTCAAACCTTGGTCTCAGTGTCCGTTTCTAAGGGAACCTGGGACATTTGGTCATGGACCCCCACCCCCTGCCCAGGACTAGCCTGGGGGTACCTGGGCCTCATAGGGCAGGAAGGCCAGATGGATCTCCTTCAGCGTCTTCACCACCTTTGCCAGACGAGAGCGGCCCAGCTCACTGAACAGGGGCTCTGGGCAGGCTGGGATGGACAGGAGGGGGGTGTCTGACCAGAGCAGCCCCGCGCCCCTTGCCCCAGCCCCCCACACCCCTGGCTTTCCTCACTCACTGTCGGTAAAGAAGACATGTGCCGCTCTGTAGGTGAAGGTCGGGGTACCCCGGAAGTCTGCAATCAGGGCCTGAACCGACTGGGGAATGCGGGTCACTCTCTGGGCCTGGCCTTGGCCCTGCACCCCCAGACCCATTCCAGCAGCTGCCCATCCCCCACCATGTGCAAACATGCACAGAGGCATGCACACACACTCAGGAACACCCACAAACATGCACACATATACACACATGTATGCACACACATGCACACACACATACACACACATGCACATGTATGCACACGCTTGCCCACATAGGCACCTTCTCTGTGGGGCTCAGCAAATATATGGCCTCCAGGCTAGGGATGGGTTCCCGCCGTTTGTTGATATCTTCAACAACTAGTAGGAACAGAGAAAGGGGCACACGTAGGTGCGTGGCACCAGGCCAGGGGCACATGGGGAGTCCCAGGTTTGGGGAGCTGGATGCTTGGGAAGAAGGGCCGGATACTCAGGGGGGCTGCACGCCCTGAAGTTCCTAAGCAGGAGATACACACCTAGGGGGTCATCCAGCTAAGAGCTACACAGGTAGGGTTCTGCACATTTGGGGGTTGCACAGCCATACCCCCAGGGGCACCCATAAAAGGCAATGCATTCTGGGAGCCCCACATTCAGAGTCCATCCTGGGAGTGCTGCACGGTGCTCCACACACAGGGCTACATGGTCAGGGAGGCCGAGCCCTCAGGGGTCGCAGCCAGGGAGTCCTGTGTGCGAGGTCTACATACCACAGGTTCCCATACTCGGCCTGCACATTTGGGGAATGTACTAGGTCACAAGACAGCTCTTGGCTGTCTATGCAGGGAGCTGCCTACTTGGAGTTCTGGGAAATTTGACGGGAATCCTCAAGGAATGCACCCCAGAGGGGGCCCCACATTCAGGGATGTCAGGGAGCATGGGGTGGGGGCATCCACTCACTGGTGATGCCCTCGGCCAGGATGTCTGACATTTTGCAGCAGGATGACAGAATGCGCATGCTTGGATGATCCATGATGAGCACCTGTCAGGACGGATGGACAGAAGAGGCCATAGCCGGCCCCAGGAGGACCCAGGACCCACCTGCCTGACCAACGGCCTCCTCCAAGAGCTCTCAGGGTCCCACATTCAGGGCCTCCCCATGGGTTTGGACAAGGGGCTGCCTCTGGGTACCCAGGCATTCTGCCTCACCCCTACCTTCCACTCCCCATCCTTTTTGACGCTCCGAATGACTCCGTTCAAAATCTCTGCAGGGAAGGGAGGGCGGGGAGGGCTCAGGATGCCGGTCCTGTGGTCCCTAGACTTCTCGGCTTCGGGGCTGGACCCCATCTTAACTCCCATTTACTCCTACACCCAAACCTGTGGAGTAGCTCCTGGCATCACCCCCAATTTACAGACAAGGAAACCGAGGTTATCAGAGACCAGGCAACATGCCTGGGGCATAAGTAGCCACTTGATAAATATGTTTTGGATGAAAGCCTAAGTGGAAAGCAGGGTTCCTCCACAGGGCTACCTGCTTTCTGAGCTGGGTTCTCGGCTTTGCCTCCTGCTACCTCAAGTTTTCTTGCTGTGGGGGTTTCAGCAAGACCCCCATTGCACCTCCATCAGTCCCCCCCGGACTACCATGCAGGAGCCCTGGTTCCCAATTCTGAGGCGTGCCTGGCTGTGGTCATCTCAGCTAACCTCCAGCCTCAGTTTCCTCATCTATAAAATGGGATCACAGGTTTTTTCATTTTCCATCAACCCCAGTGCAGGAGTGCTTCTTTATTAGCTGTTGTGCTAAGGGTTTGAGCCACAGTCTGCCCTGCTCAGAGGAGGGAGTGGGGAGAAGGAACAGGGTGGCCCCACCCGGTCAGAGGGTCACGTCCACTGTTATCAGGACCGCCAGGGTGGAAGGAGTAGCTGAGGCCGGAACTATCCGGGGACGGGGAAGGGACGACTTCCACCCCTCCCCCAAGAACCCGGACCCGGGAGGCCGGGACGCCGGGTGCTCACGCTGCAAGGGGCTCCTGAGGATGGGGCAAGGAAGAAGGCGTCCCCCGACCCACCCTCTGGGGGCCTGAACACGCCACCTGAGGTCGCTGACCCCGCACCATGGGGCCCCAAAAGTCCAACCCTCCAACTTTGCCGGCCTCAGAGACCCGGGAGTCTGGGCGTCCGGCTGTGCCCTCCCCGCGCAGGCACCCTAGGAGGCTCAGGAGTCCGGGACCCAGCCTGCGACATTCCCCAGCCGCCCCCTCGGGGCGTCCAGCAAGGACCATGTCCCCGCCCGCCCCCTCGAGGGTCAGGTGCTCGGGCACCCAGCGCGGCCCCAACTCCCCACCTCCAGGGTCCCGGGGTCCCAGAGTCCGTGTGCCCCCGGCTCCCGCCTCCCAAGAGACGCCAGAGCCCGGCCTAGAGGAGGCACTCACTTTCCCCAACCACCGCCTTCAGCCCCGAGGGCGCCATCTTCCCCCAGGGGCGCCGCCGCCGCTTCCGGGTCTGTCCCAAGGTGGGGGCGTGGCCCTGCGCGTCATCCACGTGGGCCCCGCCCCGCGGACTCGGGCCCCGCCCCCCGCGCACCTGGCCCTGCCCCGCCGTCGGTTCTCGCAGAGGCCGAGGAGGTGGGTGGGGCGCGGGCAGAACCTGCAGACTGATGTGTCCCGACGCGGCCGTGCCCGAAGTCGCTGGAGGGACACACCCCGACGACACGCTCCCAGACGGGAGCTCAGACACACATTTCCCCAGCTTGCGTGCGGCAAAAAAGCGGGACCGCCGGGCAGTGACCCCTTCACTTTCCCCAGGCACAGCCACCCCGCCTGAAGTCTGTGCGTGCCAGGTACAGTGTGCCCACTCGAGGCCACGGGGCCACAAACCTCTGGGCCTGGGACCGTGACCCACTTGCCTTCTGTACCCCAAAGCTTAGCAGCAGCAGCCGCAGGCGTGGGCAACATTCGATAGACGAGGAGACCTACGGTGTCCCAGGCACCTGCACTGCAGTTATTCCCACTCTGTCCTTCCCGACACCCTGACAGGGAGTGCGGTGCAGACGGGAAACTGAGGTTCGGCGGGACACCGACTTCAAGGTCATATGATGAGTGAGCCTACTGGGATCCGAGCCCGGGGAGACTGTTTCCGGAGGAATGCTTGTCCCAGCCTTACGCTCACCAGGGTGCATACCCAATTACTCTCATGGGTCAATGATCACACTCACCTGCTGATAGGTACAGGGACAAGTGTCATGCTCGCTCAGACGCTTCCACACTCATTCACACTCATGCTCAACTCGGAATTCCAGGGCTTTGCACCTGCTGTGCATCAGCAAAGGGCTTGTCACATAGAGAGCACAGTCCCAGCAGCACCCTACAAATGAGGTTGTGGATATAAGGTGTGTGATGTACGTGTGCGAATACGAAGTCCTGCTCATCTGAACTTCAATCGGCCACGTCTGTTACGAGTCCGCCAGGTGCCAGGCCCTCTGCCACTTACATGGGACGTACAGGAGTGAATAAAACCAGAAGGCCTGCCCACAAAGCACTTAAAGTTGACTTGGGGAGCTAGAAAGGAATCAATTCTGCCCTGAAGGACATAAATGGGGACATGATAGCTAGTGCCCTGTGGGGGGGTGGTTGGTACTTTATTGCGGGTGGTACCTGAGGACCTCTCTGAGGGAGTGGCCTTTAGATTGATCTCTGAATGACATCAAGAAGCAGCCACACGGCTGTCCAGGTAGAGATGATAGGGGAATGGGCAGGAGAAGCGGTAAGAAGGCCGTGAAGCTGGAGGCTGGGGGATGGGGACAGGAGGTGAGCTCGCAGGGGCCAGACTTCTGTAGGACAAAGTCAGGCTAACCCATCCCAGTCTGCCCAGGATTGAGGGGTTTCTCCAGACACAGGACTAAAAATGGGACAGTCACAGGCAAGCCAGGACCCTAGGGAGGAGTCTGTGCCTTCTTCTTTTATTCTCCTTTCCCTTTCCCCCTTCCTTCATTGTTCATAGCTTTATTGAGAAAATAAAACCATACAATTCACCCGCCTAATGAACAAGTCAGTGGCTCTCAGTGTATTCAGATTCGTGCATCCGTCACCGCAATCCATTTTAGAACATTTCCATTATCCCAAGGCGTTTGGGTTTTATCCTGAGAACAATGGGGGATTAGGGAGAGTTTTGAGCAGGGGAAGGAGGAGACCCCTCCAGATTGGGGGCGGGGGGAACGCAGTAAAGGGGGGAAGCTGGAATCGCCCCCACCTTCTCAGCCTGACCCCGGGGGCTGAGAGTCTACAGGACTGCCGCCCCTGCCACTATACTCAGTGGGGGGACCAGAGTCTTCCGATGTTGGGAGTTGAATTGTGTTCCCCACCCCCACTCCCCCCCCAAAAGATACGAAGTACTAACCCAGTGCTTCAGAATGCGTCATTGTAGACACTATCAGTTAGGATGAGGTCATACTGGAGTAAGGCCCCTAAGCCAATACAGCTGGTGTCCTTATAAGACGGCCATATGAAGACACAGGGAGAATGCCACGTGACCACAGAGGCAGAGACTGAAGAGCTGCAGTGACAAGCCAGGGAACACCAAAGACTGCCACCAGAAACTAGGCAGAGGCAAGGAAGGATCTAGAAGTCTACAGGTTTCAGAGGGAACGTGGCTCTGCCAACGCCTTGATTTCAGACTTCTGGCCTCCAGAACTTTGAGACAAATTTTTGTTGCTTGAAGCCATCTAGTTTGTGGCACTTTGTTCCAGGGGCCCCAGGAAACAGATACATCCGCTGAGGAGCAGAAAAGGATGTTGGCATCGAGGACTTGGGGAGAGGGTGTGAATGTGAGCTGGGACGGGGTGGGAGTGCGGCCCCTTTCTTCTGAGAAAAAACTAACTGGTTTCCAGAAAGGCATCTTGGGAAGGGAATGGGGACCTCCCAGTGGCGTTCCCTTCTAGGGCACTTAGGAAGAGCCCCAGCTGCTCAGGGGAGGGGAAAGGGACTTCCTCTCTCCCCCGCCTCCCTGTCCAGGAGTCTCACCTCCTGATCCCACACCGGGCTGGAGTGATGGGTCAGAGGAGACAGCTAAACTTGACATTTGGGTGGCGGGGGGGCAGGAGATGCCAGACTTTCTTATCTCAGGGCCTGGGGTGAGCAACCAGACCCCAGGACAGTGAGTAGAGGGGAAAGTGGCCAGGAGACCCCTTGGTATTGCTGGCAAGGAGACAGAGCTGGGGCTAGGCTGGCTGGTGGGGCCTGAGGAGGGTGCAGGGAGCGAGGGCGGGTTAGATGGAGTGAAGGAGGGAAGGGGTCCTCAGCTCCAGCTTCCTCTTCCCTGCCCCGTGCAGATGGCCATGGCCCTTCCAGCAGGATGAGGCCACAGGTACTGGTGGGGGAACAGGGTGGCTAGGTGGAGACATCCTGCAACTGGTTCCCGCCGGTGGACTGCAGGCCCTGCCCAAGCTGGCTGGACACTGCTCTACCCTGTTGACCTGTCTTCTCCAACTTTGGGGACACTTCCCTGACCTTCTGTGACACCCCACATGAGAGTCCTTGGGGCCCACTAAGTACGGCTGGCACAGCAACGCCCAAACCCAGGTCACCCTGTCCCCTACCCCCATGTAACCCAGCATCGTTCTGGGCAAACAATTATCTGGATCATCTTTATGGGGCTTAAGCTTGGGTGGGAGCAGATGGGGCATGAGCTGGGGATTTGGGACTGGGGAGGGGATCCACTCCCCCCACGTCCTGGTCATTTAAAAAGCCCTCTCTGGCACAGGGCTGGGGCAGAGGCCAGCAGAAAAGTGGACAGAGTCCAGGGACAGCGATGGACCAGGAAGAGAAGGCAGAGGAGGGGGGCTCAGCCTCCTCTGACAAGGTAAGAGGGCCCCGTCCCTACCCACCTCCAGCTCCTCAAGGTCTGAGCCTGTGATTGACAAAACTAGTTAATTTGTAGGGCACCTAATTAGCGAGTCAGTCTCCTGGGACCCCTGACCTAATTGTCATCTCAGGGAACTGTTGGTGGGCATGAGGGTCCGAGTGTCCAGCCCCAGCCCAGGACAGAGGGCAAGGCTCTTGGTGATGATGACCCCCATGAGATGGGGGATGCTGGTACTTAGGGACAGTTTCTGGGCTCTGTTTCCCAAGTTCATGTCCCAGCCCCCAGGCTACCCTCCAGTCAGACCCCAATCTAGGACAGTGGGAGGCTGGCACCAGCAGCCCCTCCCCTGAGGCGACACCACGTGAAGTGTCACTGCTGGCCGGGGCCCCCTGGGGCGGGGGCCAGGATTGGAAGAAGACTCACGTCCCATTCAGAGCAGCTCTGCAGATCAGATCGGCGGGGACCATGGTGAGAGCAGAGGGAGAGGGGAAGGCAGGCCCCAGGGTCAGGGTGGGCGCCAGCTAGCCCAGAGGGGAGGGGTCCCCAGGCTGGGGCTGGCTGGACCGAGTGTGTCTGCCCCCAGGCGGGCTCCCCAGACCAGGAGGGCTTCTTCAACCTGCTGAGCCACGTGCAGGGTGACCGGATGGAGGGGCAGCGCTGCTCGCTGCAGGCCGGGCCAGGCCAGACCGCCGAGATGCGTGAGCGTGGGCACGGGGGTGTTGTCCGGGGGATGAGAACACAGTAGGAGGGCCAGATGAGTGGCCATCTGCGGGGAGAGCTTGTAGTCTGGGGGCATGGGATGGGGGAGACGACTGTGTACCCTGGAGAACATGAGTGGGGGTGGAAGGGGGAAGTTGGGGGCCCAGCAGTCTGTGTCCTGCAGAGTCTGTGTTTATCCCATGTGCCTCTGCTCCATGCAGAGGGCAGCCCCGAACCTGAGATGGACAGTCTCATGGACATGCTGGCCAGTACCCAGAGCCGCCGCATGGATGATCAGCGTGCGACAATCAGCACCCTGCCTGGCTTCCAGCCTGTGGGCGCCAAGGTAAGTGATGTCCTGCCAGTGTTGAGAGAAACTTGCCAGGCTGCCGTCTCTAACCCTGCCTCCCACCCCCAGCCAGGAGGGATGGGGCCCTACTTCCACCTCTGTCCATCATCTGCCCTGATTTAAGAAGGATGGACAAGGCCCAGACAAGGCTGAGAGGGGCCCAAGGTCATTCAGGGGCTGTGCTAGTGTCAGAGCCATGGCTGTGACTCACAGCTCCTGCCTCCAAGTCTGGGGGCTTCAGGAGGGCCAAAGGGTGGGAACAGGCCCCCTTGCTGGGAAGACGCCCCAGGGAGAAGGGCTCATGAGCTCAAGCACAGGAGGCACACACCCACATGCTCATGTCCATGTGCTCATGTGTGTTTATGTCCAACGGACTCACACACAGCTTGGGTTCTGATCAAGACCCCAGTGAGAGCTCCAAGACTCGCCACCTCCCACCCACTGTCATTCAAAATGGCAGGTAATGAAGATAAACATAGACGAATGCTTGGGGACCAAGAGGGCAGTTGCACACCGGGAGACAGGACACAGCTTCCCACCTGTGCCCTCTCTCTCCAATGTTTGTGTCACCTCTGGCCTATACTGCCCTTGGTCCCTCCCTCTGGCTGACCACTCTTCATCCACAGGATGGAGTGCAGAAACGAGCTGGGACCCTCAGCCCCCAACCCCTGCTCACCCCTCAGGACCCAGGCACTCTCAACTTCCGTCGGAACAGCAGCCCCCAGCCCCAGACACAAGCCCCCTGAGGGCCTAAGCCATCCTGGGCCCCACTCGGCCCCTGAAAGCAGACAATAAAACACTTCCACGAGCAACAAGGAACCGAGTATGTGTTATTTCATGGGTGGAGGGGCTGGTATTCAAACACTCAGAGGCCTCAGGAGCTCTGCTGGGCAGCGCGAAGGAGTTTCTCCTCCCGCTGCTTCCGTATCCGCTCTTTGAATTCTTCTAGCTCTTGGCGCTGGGCGTAGGGAAGGGGTGGGAAGGGGGGTGGGACAGGAAAGGAGAGGACACATACCTCAGGGCCTGGACCCCTTTTCCCACCCTCCCCCCCTTCCTCCAGGCTTCAGAGTTCAGTGTCTACACTGGAAGCCCTGTGCCAATTACAGCCGGGGTCCAAGTGGGATCTGTTTCATCCTTCAGGGAGAAGGCAATAAGGAAACCATATGATCCTCTGCTGTCAGTTCCCTACCCACGGCTGAGGGTAAAATTTTCCTTTGAATTCATCATGAACACGGGGCCCCTGACTCCTCCATCCTTCTGGTGGGAAGAAGAGTAGGTCACTTACCTGGCCTTCCTTTTCAGGTGGCCACAGCTCCCTCTACAGGAACAAAGTCACAGCTGGGGGCACAAGCCAGGAACTTCCAGAGCCTCAAACCCAGGGCAGGTGGGCTCATGGGAGGCAGACATTGGTCCCCAGCAGGTTAATGCCCTATAACCTCCCCCATCCCCTGGAATGAACCTGTGAACACTCTCCTTATGCCCACCTTGCGCCGTATGACATAGTCCTCAAACCATTCAGCCTGATTGGAAATCCAGAACATAGCCACAGGGAAAGTGAGGTACAGTGTCATCTGGAAAGACAGGGGCAGATGAACAGGGGCAGAGATTACCACCCAGCAAAGTGCGGAAGTTGCTCAGGGTCTGGAGGACCCCTCCTCCTGCAGAGCCCAAGTGCGCCTCAGAACCTTCCCAAGAACCTCAGAACTCCAACCAAGGGTACAGAAGCTCCATATCTTAAAGCTCAGCCCCCATGACCCAGGAAGCCTTATTCCTAAAAGTCCCCTCCGAGTCTGGGAGTCTCCCTCTCAAAGACAGAAAGACACACAAATGCACACACACACACACACACACACGCACACGCACACACACACACCAGCCCCAGCAGCACATTAGCTCCTATTGCAACCATAGGCACCTCTTCATGACCCCATTACCCACCCCACCCCACCCCAGTCAGATCCTGGGAGCACTCCCAAACCCAGGAGGCCTCATTCTTTAGATCTACTCCCCTAAGTCTAGGAGTCTCCCTATCAGAGTCCCACACCCGCCCCCCATGAGCCCGAGATCTCCCCCAGGATCTGAAGCCTTCCTTCTTACAGCCCCCTCCTCAACTCACCCCTCTCTGAGACCTTACCTCACACCAGCCCACTCGGAGTCCCCAAACTCAGAAGCCACACTCCGAGCCCCCACCAACCCAGCGCCCCTTCCTCTGGGTTTCCAGCCGTAAAGATCCCTCTTAAATTTCAAGAGCTTTCTCCCTGGGGCGCCCTCTCTTCGAATTCCTCCCTTTCCACAGCCTCATCCTCAGATCCAAGAAGATCCCCCGGCCAGCCTCCCAACCCACCCCTGTGCTCACTGACCCGAAACACTTCCAGCTTCACGCCCATCTCGTATCTCTGGGTCTGCAAAGCTACTTCCGCCCAAACCACACTCTCCAGCAAGACAGCAGCTCATTGGAAATTCTTGGGCAGCACGGCTGAAGCTGATTGGCCAATAAGCTTCACGATGACGTAATCTTCTGGAGCCTCTCCGTACTTCCGGTCTCTGGCGTTGCCTAAACGAAAGTCAACAACGCGGGCCGCGCTGTCCGGAAGAGTTCAGCCAATAGGAAACGGGTCTGGCTCGGGAGGGGCGGACCTTCAGTGGGATACGTCATAAGCGCGCGACATTCTCCTTTGCCTGGAGAGCCAGGAAAATGGTGGTGATGGCGCGACTGTCGCGGCCCGAGCGGCCGGACCTTGTCTTCGTGAGTCCGCGGAGGGACCGGGGGTGGCCCGCGTGGGGGCATCGGGATCTGGATGCCGCTGGGGATCCTGATCTGGTTTCCTGGGGGAATTTAGGCCCAAACTGTACCGTCCCGAGGTCTAGGGGACCCTGACGGGCCAGAGGCTGGACAGTATTGTCCGCACCGGCCTGGCCAGCGGTAAAGATCTGGTGTCGGAACTGGAGCCCTGGTGGTCTGAGTGAAGAAGTTAAGGGCCTGGCGTCTCGGGCCAGAAATGGGGAAATGGGGGTGCGCGGGGAATGGGAGAGGAGGGAGGTCGCATAATTTAACCTTTACAGATAAACATCCGATGTCTGAAGTAAAAGAATGGTGATCAGGCCAGGGCCATGGTTTCAGGGGTAAAGCCTTGGTGTCTGGGCTAGGAGAACCCTGAAGTGTAAAGTAGTGCTGGTGATGTGGACTTTTGTCAGGCGATGGGCAATAGGATCCTAAAGAGCGGAAGACTCAGTGTCTGCTGTAGAGGCCTGTCACGTTAATCAAATTCTTGGTGTCCAGGATTAAAGTCTTACTGTACGGTCCATATCTTTCTTGAGATAAAGGCCAACAAGGTGGAGGGATTGGATCCCTGAACTGGCCAGCCGCCAAAAAAAAAAGAAAGAAAGAAAAATGCCTAGCTTCCAAGTTCTAGGGCAGAGGTAAGCTAGACTCTGGCTAGTGGGAGCCTGAGAGGCCAATGGTCTGGTGTCTGGGAAGAGGCATGTTGTGAGGAGGGAAGGCCTGATGATGTCCAGGGTAGAGGCCTGGCATCTGGACAAGGGCCAGGTGTGTAAGGAATCTGATGATCTGGGTTGGAGAGTAGGTGATGGGATTTGGAGGGCCAAAGTCTAATGTCCAGGTGATGGTTTCATATCTGGCCTGGAGTCCTAATGGCTGAGAAAGATGATGATGATCTGGGTCAGACTGCAGGCAGTCGAATTCTGAGGGGTAAAGGTTTGGACTAGGGTGCTGGTGTCTGGGCATCTAGTGACCTGAGTCTGACCATGGGCAGTGGGATCTTGGATTTGGGTAAAAGTCTGGAGTCTGGGCCTGAGCCCCAGTAGTGGAGTGGTGTTGCACTCAGGCCCTGAGGGTAGATCTCTCTTCTTCCCATTCCCTGGCCCCGGCAGGAGGAAGAGGACCTCCCCTATGAGGAAGAAATCATGCGGAACCAGTTCTCTGTCAAATGCTGGCTCCGTTACATCGAGTTCAAACAGGGTGCCCCAAAGCCCAGGCTCAATCAGCTGTATGAGCGGGCCCTCAAGCTACTGCCTTGCAGGTGGGAACAGCTCCAGCTGCCCTGCCCACCAGCCCACATCCCACCTTGTCCAGTCATAAGGGAACTGGCGAGCAGGTCCCACATGATTGCTATGTGGCCTGTCACAGAGTGTACATCCCCTGATGGGTCAACACACCTTCCCTGATGTCCCAGTCTATCCCCCATTGCTGAGACTTATCTGTCCTCCCCAAGCCCCTTCTCCTCAAAGTTCCCTCAGGGGAAGGGCAAAGGGTTCTGGGGGTCCATAAAGCTGATCCATCAGTATCTGTACCTTCCTGTTCCCCAGCTACAAACTCTGGTACCGCTACCTGAAGGCACGCCGGGCACAGGTGAAGCACCGTTGTGTGTCCGACCCTGCCTATGAAGATGTCATCAACTGCCATGAGAGGGCCTTTGTGTTTATGCACAAGGTGGGGGGCTGGGTGAGGGGGTGAGGGGGAAGGTGGGGCTCAGTGATGGGCTGGGCGGGGCAGGCGGGTTCAGTTCAGTATGGTAGAGACAGACTTGGAGTCCTGTTGCTTCTGTGCGTGAGAGATTGGGCTGGACTCAATCCTATAGGGTTCTGGGTCCTGCTGCATTTACGCAGAGGTTCCAGGCGTGGCTTGGCCATAGGACATCCAGTATCTGGCCAGGCCTTGGAACCCACGGCTCAGACCCAGCTGCCTCTACCCACACTTCCAGATGCCCCGACTGTGGCTAGATTATTGCCAATTCCTGATGGACCAGGGGCGTGTCACACACACCCGTCGCACCTTCGACCGTGCCCTCCGGGCACTGCCCATCACGCAGCACTCTCGTATTTGGCCCCTATACCTACGCTTCCTGCGCTTGCACCCGCTACCTGAGACAGCTGTGCGAGGCTATCGGCGCTTCCTCAAGGTAAACGCATCGGGTGGGCCAGCTGGGACCCTATGCCCATGTGGGACTCACCTGACAGACAGGATGCAGGGAGAGGTTTCCTGGAAACACACAGGTTTTGTTTGCAACTTATTTCTTTATTTTCCAAAGAGTTTGCTAGCACTTGCTCCACATCAGGCGCAGAGATGGCTGCTGGGGACAGTATGAATAAGACAGTCCCTGCCGGCATGGAGCTTTCAGTCTAACTATGTAGACAGATGTACATGAGCCAGCCGCATAAACCAGAGTAAAACCACAGCCATGGTCAGGGCAAGGAGTGGAAGAGAGCTATGGGAATGGACAAGAGGCAGGGCTCAGAGTAGACGTGGAAGCTGGGTGGGGGTGGGACACAGTTTGCTGAAACTAACAATGTCTGTTTTGCAATGTGAAACTCTTAGCACATTGCCGCTTGGGTAGGGGCTCTGTGATGAAAGCAAGGCCTGGCTCGTGCCTGGACCACTGGAGTGTAAGCCAGACCCATCAGGACTGGGATTAGACCAGGGGGCCCAGGCTGGACCACAGTGGTCAAGGCTGACCCAGATGGGCCACGACTGAACCAGTCAGGCCTGAGGCTGGACCAGTGGGGCCAAGGCTGGACCATAGGGGGCAAGACTGAACGAAATGGGGGCTGGCTGGTTAGCTCAGTTGGTTAGAGCACCACCTTGTAACACAAAGGTGAAAGGATTGGATCCCCGTAACAGCCGGCTGCCAGTAAAAAATAAAAAACGACTGAACAAAACAGTTAAAGCTGGACCAGTTAGGACTGAGGCTGGACCACAGTGGTCAAGGCTGACCCAAAATGGCCAAGGCTGGACGAGTCAGGACTGACGCTGGACCAGTGGGGCCAAGGCTGGACGGGTGTGGGTGGTTGTCAGGGCTGGCACTTGCCCAGGACGGTGGGGTTGGGTGGCAGGAGGCCCAGAGCCACTGAGTCAGGACGGGGCACAGTGGTGTGGCCCTTCTGCTGTCCCACTGACTGCTGGCCGGGTCCATTGGTCCCCAGCTGAGTCCTGAGAGTGCAGAGGAGTACATTGAGTACCTCAAGTCAAGTGACCGGCTGGATGAGGCAGCACAGCGTCTGGCCACTGTGGTCAACGACGAGCGCTTCGTGTCCAAGGCTGGCAAGTCCAACTACCAGGTGGGCCTGTGGGGAGATGGGGGCTGGGCTGGCAGGTGGGCTCGCCACACCAGGGGCTGAGGCTGATGCTCCTCCCCCATGACCTGTGCCCTGCAGCTGTGGCATGAGCTGTGCGACCTCATCTCCCAGAACCCAGACAAGGTGCAGTCCCTCAACGTGGACGCCATCATCCGCGGGGGCCTCACCCGCTTCACTGACCAGCTGGGCAAGCTCTGGTGCTCGCTGGCTGACTACTACATCCGCAGCGGCCACTTTGAGAAGGTGTGTGGACACGGGGGCTCTGGGAGCCGGCAGGGTCTCCCTCTTACACTTGGGGATGCACGTGGAGCAATTTATTCTCACCCCCCACTCCTGTCCCTGTAGGCTCGGGACGTGTATGAGGAGGCCATACGGACCGTGATGACCGTGCGGGACTTCACACAGGTGTTTGACAGCTACGCCCAGTTCGAGGAGAGCATGATTGCAGCTAAGATGGAGACCGCCTCGGAGCTGGGGCGGGAGGAGGAGGGTGAGCTGCCCGGGAGCACTGGCTGGTGGGGAAAGAGGGCTGGACTGCGGGGGTTGGGGTGAGGGTCTCAGATGGGCTCAGCTCCTAGAGACTCAGCCAGGGGCCAGGAAGGAGGGAGGCTGGGTGGACAGGGGTTTGGGGACCCTGGAGTAGCCAGGATCGGGGACACTTCTCAGGGCTGGGCCAGAGTCTGGCAGGGCGGGAGGGCTGGGGCCAACCATGAGTGTTAGAGGGGTTTCCAGAGTAGCTGGGGCAGGGGGTGGGGCTCAGGTGCACAGCTGAGCTGAGTCTCTAATGCCCAGAGCACTGGCTGGGGGCTGGGGAACGGAGGTGGCCACAAGCCCAGGTCCTCACTCCAGTCTGTGCGTCCCCTCCCCACACCATAAACATGTCTGTGGGTTCCAGATGATGTGGACCTGGAGCTGCGCCTGGCCCGCTTTGAGCAGCTCATCAGCCGGCGACCCCTGCTCCTCAACAGTGTCTTGCTGCGCCAGAACCCCCACCATGTGCATGAGTGGCACAAGCGTGTAGCCCTGCACCAGGGCCGCCCCCGGGAGGTGTGTGAAGCCCGCCTTGGTCCAGGCTTCTTAGAGCCCCGCCCTGCTCTGACCACCCCTTTGCTGAGCTAAGCCCTTCCCCTCTGGCCACGCCCCACCCTGGCCACGCCCCCTGAGTCCGGTGCTCTGCCCCAACCTCCTCTGCAGGACCCTGACCTCCACCCTCTTGCCCTAGA